GGTAAAAGGTCTATTCATATACCTCGTCTTTGGTACAACGAACGAAAAGAGTTGTAAGAGTTTTGAAAAGAATTTGTCTTCAAGTAAAAATAACCTGTCTAACATAATGGCTAACCAAACAGTTGCCTAACTATAAATCTAAATTCGTTTATTATATCAAGAAACAATTCTAAATTCGCAGCCATTAGCTCGGTGTCACCCACGAAGAATAACTTTTCTATCGTGGGTGACACCGATTACCAGGTCTCACCACGAGGAGGTTGCTGCGAGTGGAGACCCGAAGGGAGATAGATGGAATCAAAGCTCCGTCGATCTCCCTTTTAGCTAAGCTTAGCTAGATTACTAAACTAGAGAGATAGAAGATCTTCTAGTTTAGTTGTACCAAGTAATTATTTCGTTTAAAAAGGGATGAAGCTAAATTATGGGATACGCGACGCGACGCGATGCTGAACCGTGCAGCAGATCTTCGGATCGAATCGACACTGCCCTTGGTAGATTGATTTCTATTTCTAGAAATCGAACTATCATGGGCAGGCGACTAGATCTTTCGGACAAACTGGACGGCCGATCACATGTTTCGTTCGACGAAACAGTGGTGACCGAAGCAAGAAACGAGAGAACGAGTCGAGAGAAGCTACTTGTTAAATAATTACTTGGCAATATTGGGAGACGCATACAATAGGGGCTTAAAATTAACGTCGAAGCTCAAGTCTAGTCAAGTTGAAACTAAAATTCGGACGATAGAAGGAAACGAACATCCTTGGATGTTCTGATTTAGTTGTACCAAGCAATTATTTGGTTAAAAAGAGGGACGAAGTTAATTTGAGGGACACGCGACGCGACACGACGCGACGCGAAGCTGAACCGTGCAGCGGATCCGAGGATCGAACCTACTGCCCTTGCTAACTAGATCTCTACAGGATAACGGACGGCTGCGACTCCGAATCTAAGGTCTCCATTGCTCCAACGCAACCCGCCGGGAGCCCGAAGGACCCGACTCAAGTTGTCTGACAAAGAGAGAGTACCTCTGTTTCAGTGTCGACTTCCGCTGGAAGGTATGCGTTTCCGCAGGATACGGAAACTCCACACCTTCCAGCAGAGTACCATTTTCCCTGGATCGAGCTACCAAGGGAAGGCGGTTAGATCTGTCGGGCCAGCTACACGGCCGATCACATGTTTCAATCGATGAAACAGCGGTGACCGAAGCTAGGAACGAGGGAACGATCGAGAGACAAGCTACTTATTGAATAATTGCTTGGTAGGACGCGGAGACACGTATAATAAAGAACGCTTCGACGTTAATTTTAATACTCGCGACGAAGCTTAAGACTAATCAACTCGGAATTAAAAGTCCCTCGGCGGGCGCGGCGTTCTCCCTCGGTGTCCTTGCGATTAATCCAAAATTAAACTGAAATCAAAACTAATATTTATATTAGTGAGACATGGTAGGAAAATTAATAAACACTTAAAAATAATCTATCACCTAGCTAAAGGGGCTAAACGTAAAAATAAAAATCTTATATCAATCAGTGTCATCGAAACAAATATGGCATAGCCATCGACACCATATTATACGTATCAAAACGAACATTCTTCTACTGATCAGTACCATCGAAACTAATATAGTATTTCCTTCGACACAATGTGATACAACTCAAAACGACCATTCGTAATAACGATTGGAACTTGGATCGAGACACCAAATTGAATCAACACCAAAGAATCAAACGAAATGGAGGAATCGAACAAAGTACCACCGCAGAATATTACGAGAATTCGAGCAAGAACGTGAAAATAAAAATTCATGAAATCGTGTAGAAACGAATATAGTATATGATTGAAAACAATACTAGATTATTATATCCTGCAATATTATACATATCAAAGCAATAACATAAATTCGGCAAACAATGTAAAAGTAGAAACATAGAAAAGGAACATTCATAATATCCAAATAAAATCAGATAGATAAATAAAGTTGAATTCACATCAAACAAACAAATAAAAATAATAAAATATAAATAAGCGGAGTGGACTTACTACTTGTTGTCAGTATACAGGATAGTTACCACTGGGCCAGCTGTAAAGTAAGAAAATATTCATATTATAGCAACTTCAGTTAGGCAAGCAAGGCAAAATCAGTTCATTGAAGCGAAATTGGTATCAAACGATAGAATAGAAGAGGGGAGAGAATTTTTAAACAGTTCTTACCGTTGTCATCACCGTCCGGCACTGGTCAGCAGTGGTCAGTAGTGGTCAGTAGTGGCAGAAGCGCTAGCCAGAACTGGTCAGTAGTGGTCAGTATTGGTCAGTATTGGTCAGTAGTGGTCAGCCCTGGTCAGCTCTGGCCAGTAGTGGTCAGCAGCGGCCAGCAGAGGTCAGTAGCGGTCCCCGGTTGACTTCAGGCGATTTGTACACTCCCGAATTCGCGACGCGACTGAAGAATTCTTCGCAGTAACCCTGCTTATATGTCTAAGGTGATAAAAGGGTGGGGAGACCAGTCAGAGCCGAAGTTAAAGTTAACAGTTAAGACTCTCTTGTCTACAAAGAATCTATTTCGATTGGTCCCATCTATTGACCATTTCTGGGTCTTCACTGGACCGCTGACCTTGATGTCAATCTCACTGTTAACCACCAGTGACCATAAGCTAGTCATTGTTGATCATCGACCCATTAAAACCATTACGAAGATTGAAGCCTTCTTACGAGGATCCTCTTACAATTTGATGCATGATCTTTTTAACATTTTGTTCCACTTTGGAAGAGTGTATCTCGTTAATTTTTGTCTTTTTGTACATCAGTTCGAACAATTGTCATACCGAGCGAAAAATTCGGAGGTGATTTCAGCGTCCTCGTCAGTTGAGAAACTATTCACTGAATTAGTATTGATGGGCAGACAGTTGTGCGTGTGCGTAAACACATGCGAGTTGACCATGAGGAAGGGATTGAAATTCATTTCTAAATCTGTTGGTAATGTTGCGAGTGACACGAAAATGGTAATGGGCCGAAAAAATACATTGTATGAAAGGTCCATTTGTATACCTCGTCTGTGATAAAAAATTATTTACGGTCAATCATTGTACGGTACCACAAACTTCTGCTTTCTGAAATTGAGACACATATTCCTAATATCTACTTTTCGAATAATACGGTTTCTTCGACACTAGATTGCGCTTTAATAATATTTTGTGACGACAGCGCCACTCTTTTAGTTAAATTTAAATTAATGTTATTTTTTTTATTACTAAGAGACCAAGATACACAAGTTATTAAATAGTTAGTCGCTATAATAAAGTTCTTAGTAAATGTATTGGATTCTACCGTCGCTATTAATATCCGTGTTTATTGACGAGCATAACGGCTAGAATATCTTTATTCGTGGCGCCATCTAGTGCTGAAGAAACCGTACTATTTCTCATCAAACTTGGACGTTTGCAATTTTAAAAATTTATTTACTTAGAATGAAATTATACTATAACGCTATGGATTTATAAATGTGTTTACAAATCTTGTAAACACTCAGTAATAGTCGAATGAAAAATCCTATGCTTTTATTGAGTCAGAAATCTTGACTTAATTGGATGTGATTGCCTTTAGGGATCTATTTCTTTTCCAAATAGAGTCACTGACGAAAAGTATTGGAACTTGTGAATTAATGATTTGGTTGAACTCTTCTGTTCAAGAGAGATTTTGTATGTAGTTTCAGCATAATGGACCTCCATAACCTTATTCAATTAACGCGAGGCAACACTTAAACGAAACCTTCAGAGAGAGAGGTTGATAAGACGAGGAAATCTAATAGAATGGCCTTCTCGATCACCTGACCTTAATTTTTCCGATTTTTTATTGTCGTGTCGCATAAAGACAATGATCTACGTATCGTCAATAAATAATATGCTGGATTTACAACAAAAAATAGAAAATAAGTGTCGTACAATACAAGACAAAGAAAGAATATTTGAAAATGTAACAATTACATTGAAATAAAAGGAATATATATCGAACATCTACTATGACAAAGGTTTTAGAATAAGTGAATAGTTTGTGTCATCTATGAAGAAATCTTTGTTATTATTAACGATAAATCCATTGTTGACAAGCTTGAATTGATAGTTCGAAACCAATTCCTCTGGTTACATTCAATGTACTGTAAAGAAATTCAATTGCGATGTCGAATATTCGTAAATAATAAAAGTCGATTGATTGTAGGATCTATTTACGTTGATTGATTATTTTTTGACTCCGCTCGTTAAGTACTATAAGCTCCAAGTTTCATACTTCTTTTTAATAACATTGTATACTTTTTAAACTAACTATTTATCTTCATTGTAATTTTTCAATCGAAAACAATTATCTAATTTGATAAAAAGAATCAAATTAGCTATATGTGATTCATTGAATCGAATTAAAGTATTAATTTATCTTTACTTCGATACAATAATTTCTATACTTTATATTACACGTGTATAAGATTATTAAGTAATGTTACATCATATAAATAATTTTCACTATTGTTTTACATTTAACATTTGTATATGTATTAACTACATAATTATCAATACTTTTCTAATTGTTCTTTATTCTTATCATACCTTAAATGTTTTTGTTTTGTCGTGTATTTCGCGTATTCTAGGGAATTGTAACATAATTATTATTTATTAACGCGACAATTATCAACAAATTTGAGCAATCATAAATTTGAAAAAGTTTTTGAGCAACTCAAATTATTTACCCGAACCACGTGCAAATACATGCATAATCGAAGAATCAAGAATGAAGAGCAGAGATTGGAATTAAAATGGACTATAATAATATATTTTATTTGACTTAAAAAATATCTATAAAACCTTTCTCTACAATTTTCATAAAACTTCTTCGTATCATTCCAAAATACAAATAAAAGACACACATGTAAAATTTAAATAAAATTTTTGTTATAACCAAGGATGTACCATAATTGTATGACACGTGTATGTATATTCTATGAAGGTTGTGTCGAATTTTCTCGTAAATATTGTTACAAGTATTTTATATCAAAACGCGTTTCTTTGGCGAGAAAAGTAACTTTGGAATTTGTAAAAATTCGAAAAAAAGAAAAATTCGTTGAATGTTACGTAATACTTGTTACAAGTAAATTGAATTTACTTATTCGTCATTTTGTCATGGGTTCAGCAAAAATGAAAAAATACACAAAATTGCAAAGAACAATGCGTGTTTTTTATTTCTAATCATATCAGAAGTTTATGAAGTCTTGCCAATGTTGTTAATATTTATAATAAATCGTTGACAGGATGTCTTTTAACGCGTCGCATACCGTATACACACACTTGGCAAAATGTATATAAATGTTGAAAATAAATTAATATAATTTCCTATGGACAATCTTTTGGATAATAACGCGTCTTACAGTTTAAATGACAACTCTATAAATACATTCGCAATTCGTTTATCAAAAAATTCATGAGCATGTCAAGGTCGTAGCTAATGTGCATACGGTAAAGAGAGAAAAAAAAAACAAACATTAACCATACTGTATAAGATTAAAAAGCGCGTCGACATTTTCTTTCTCGGACTCCTGTTGCCGTACAACTTGCGTGACGTCCTGGGTCAGAAGCACCTCTTCGATCAAAACGGCCTCAGTGTCAGGGTTCTCAGATACAACAGCGGTCTCCTCTTTGATCTTCTCTTGCGTTTCGTTCGATTTGATCGCTTTTTTTCTTCGTTTCACCCTAGGCCTGTCGGTATGTATCGTCATGTGTCTCCTCAAATCGTACTTACCAACGAAACGAGCGTTACATATCTCACAACCGAACGGTTTACCGCCGGTGTGCGTCCACATGTGGCGTCTCAGCGCGGCGCTAAACGTAAATGCTATTCCGCAAACGTTACAAATGTACGGTTTTTCCCCGGTGTGCAAGAGGCTGTGATCCCTCAAGGTCGCCCTCTGATTGAACCGCTTCCCGCACACCTCGCACGTGTAGCTTCGCGGATTCGAGTGAATCCTCACGTGATTCAACAGATTGCCCTGCTGGGAGAACGACCTGCCGCAGACCTCGCACTTGAATGGCTTCTCGCCGGTGTGGACGCGCATGTGAGTCTCCAAAGTGCGATTGTTCGGGAATCTTTTACCGCAGACCTTGCAGGGATATTTGGGTAAATGGAGGCCCTGGGGGTCCAAGTGGGTGATCAGGTGTCGTTTGTAATTGCCTTTGTGGTTGAACAGTCGCGGGCATTGGCTGCAAGCGTACGGCGCGCCGCGTATGTGCGTGGTGATATGAGTCTCCAGCTCGGATTTCACTTTGAATCTGAGCCCGCATTTCGGGCACCGATGCCTTGGAAAGTCCGTGTGGCACACCATGTGCCTCTTCAGATACCTCTTCATGGTGTACGCTTTGTTACAAATGAAACAAGAGTACGGGAACTGGCCTGTGTGAGTCTTCACGTGCGTTCGTAGCTCTCTGTGGCTCTCACAGTCTTTCTCGCACACTACGCAAAAGAATGGACCACTGCTCGGCACGTGGTTGTCTATAGTATGCAACAGCACGCCAGTCAGCTTGTCATAATTTTGCAAGCACAACGTGCACTGGTATTGCATCACGTTGTCGTCCAGTTTGATCTCTTTTATTCTTGTTATCGTGTCGTTCAAACTACCCAATATGTTGTCTTTCGGATCGACGAAATAGTCCGAGTCGGAGTCGTCGCTACCTTCGCCCTGTTGGCTCGATTCTAGAGACTTTTTCGACTTGTTTCTACCGTTTATTTTCTCCCTGGAACTCTTTTTCCACGGTCTTTTATTCTTGTACGGTTTGCTGATTTCTGTATTATCGGCTTTTATGAATTCCTCGTTGTCCGCCGATTCGTTCATGGCTTCCTCCTCGTGTTCCGCTTTCAGGATCTTTTTACTATTTTCTAATTTAATCTCTGTCTCGCTGGAAAGGGCGCTATCGACGTTTACTTGGCCCAAAGAAACGTTTTCGTCCGGTATATACATTATCGTGTAGTCCAAGTGTTCCGATTCCAGGATTTTCGAAATTTCATTCGGTATCTCGTCTTTTACTTTGTCTTGGTCGATATCTGCCCTTGGGAGTTTCGATATGAGAATACCTCTCAGATCGGGTATATCGTCCTTGTTAAATACAGCGTTTTCTTCCACCAATTCGGACAGATCGATCTCTAATACGTGTTCTCCCTTAATATTACTTTCTTCCGGTATAAATTCCTCCGAACTCTCCGCGCCATTCATGGGCCTAAAGTTCTGTTTGTGGCGCGACAGTCTCACCTCTGAGGACTCGTTCGATTGCTCGGTGTAATCTTGCTCGGATTCGTTGGCCATCGCCTCTTCCTGGAAGTTAAAACAAAGTACAGTAGAGTTCATATTATCCGGCACCCGGTTATCCGGAATGCCCGATCAACCAGCACATTTTCCAGTAAATGTTACCAGCAGCGACGTCTAGATCTTCCAATAATCCACTAAGTGAACTTTCAAAAGAAATTATTCAATCGAAGGAGATAAAAAAACGCCAAAGTGCAATAAATTCGGTGTTTGAAAAGATAGTGAAAAATAAAAATTGGGGGACTTAACTTTAGGAATGCTGATAGAACGTTTATTTAAATTAGAGTATAATTAGAGATTAAATATCGAATTATCGTATTGTGTTATTTTAATAGACAATAATTTAATAAATTTTCTAAATACACGTTCAATGCGCTATTAGAAATTCCACTTCACGTCATACGTGGCGTATGATTTATGAACGACAGTGATCCGCTTCATTGCAGCCGAGTACCTAAATAATTTTCAAACGACTGATTCCAAATTATACGATAGGTTTGGCAGTTTTTATTGTCTGAGACCTCAATTTGCTCTCTCGACTTAATCTATCGGATCTTTACTGGTGAGGTCGCCCGAAATTTATTGTCTATTGATAATGTTAATATATTTCGACGGAGAATCGAACAAAAGATTCCAAGAAATCCAGGAAGGACCTGGATACGTCGGAAGGATAAAAGGAAGCAATGATAAAACGTTTGTAAGCTGACGCTGCGATACATGTTGTTCTGTGCACCTCTTACGAAGATAAATAGATACAGGTTGCCAGAACACGAAACTATAACACGAAAAGAAGGTCAACCGAAGTATATATTTGTACAAGGTGTACGGCCACCAGTGGGAAAAATTTTAATAATAGATTCTAGAGGCCAAAATAAGATGAAAATCAAGAATACCAATTTGTTGATTGAGGCTTCGTTAAAAAGTTATTAACGTTTAAAGTTCCGCCTGTAGAACGGCAATCTGCGAACAGCTGCGTGCGCATGATAGTGGTTCTCACTCAGCATGAGAAACAGTTTTGGGAGTGAGAACCACTGCTACCCATTCTACAGGCGGAACTTTAAACGTTAATAATTGTTTAACGAAGTCTCAATTAACAATTTAGTATTCTTGATTTTTGTCTTATTTTGGCCTCTAGAATTGTCCATTAAAATTTTTTTGGCCGAACAACCTATATATACATAATTTATTGTTTTTAAGTTCTAAATCCATATCTAAATTATGGGATATCCTATGTTATTTCAAATAATATGTTACCAATTTTTGTATCAGACGTTTTATTACTAGCTTTAACAATTCTCAAAATGAGTACAAAATCTATACATTATTTTGTAAGAAGTCTATGTGTGTGTTGGATCGTGGGACCGTTATTGTTGGCATCGATAGAAGTTTATAGGTTAGGATCGTTGGTATCGATGAGCGAAGTGCTTAGGTTTAACCCGAAATACGTTCGGGGGTCTGTTCCTCGAACGTGCGTAGAAAAATGGGTCCGTATCGATGACCTCATTTGTTTAGAATATGTAGTTAGGAATTGAAAGGGTTCGAACTTCGACTGCAGAAAATGACTCTGCGTCGAACTCTGGTCGAGAGTAGTCATTTATGGTTTTTACGTTTACGTTTTATGTTCTTTTCATATGAAACAGTTATAGTAGCATTAAATAATATAGTTTATATCGTTAAATTTACAGACTATACGTCTGTGATTATCCTTGACATCCTTACAATTTCGACGTGCTATAGTGAATGCATCGTCGACCGAAAAATAAAACATTGCACTTCGCTGATAATACCAGAGGGAATGTGTCTCTTGTTCTACGAAATTCCCTAGCGTGAAACGTATTTCCTACTTCGCTTGAAGGTAAAATCGTAAAAATAACAAGAATGTATCATTCGTAAATAAATCTGCGGACTGCAAAACGTAAAAGTACTACGCGTTTCATTCTTGTTAATGCATTTGTCAAAACAAACAAATAGAGTAAAGCAGAAGGCATGAAGGGGATAATTCTCCTATGTCTAAACAAAATAAGAAGTTGAACGGTATCCCAACATCAATGGACTGTGAATCAGAGGCTGAATTTAAATAACACAATAGTTAGATTACACATGGCCACTTGAAGTTTTAACAGGAAAGATGATACGCTTTCTTTGCAGAAAGAATGCTAGTTTATGGGGTACTGTTATCGAGTAATGTAATTTTACTTAAATCCAGAGTACTACATGTACTATCTAAAATTTATATGTAATAATGTACAATGTATGTATAATCTCAAGAGAAATAGAAATTGCTTAGAAAATAAATAAATAATTTAAGAAAGTATTTCTAAATACAACAGAAAAGGAATAAAAACATAGAAAAAACTAAAGAAATGGGCAATTAAAGTTGGATCAAAATTTATAAAATGAAATAAATAAAAATTATGAAACTATGTAGAAAGCATGCGGCATGAAATAAAATAATTAAATATACTATAAAGTTAAAGTAAAAGTATTTATTTATTTCTTACTTTAATGGTCCAATGTACTTGTGTTTCAAACATCTTACGAAGCTTCTTATCGGTAGCTTGAACCTGCAGCTTGAAGTTGTAAAATGCATCTGTACGGTACGCACACTTTGCGCAAAGCATATTTGGTAGTCCATCGAACCTATCAATCTATGGAAATAAATAGATTAAACCAGTTGAAATGAAATAGAGAAACAACAAACTATGCAATACTGTAATGATATATGATAAAAAATAATACACATTTCTAAATATTATTCTGCAGATTAGTGCTTTCAATGTAGTTTATATTTTATTTTAAGGTTATATCTAAAAATTATTGATAACTAGTAAATAACCCCTAGAAAAACAGGTGTTTGTAAAACGCTATTGTACCTATTCCTTTGATCATTAAAAATTATCCCTATATACGTGTCCATTGATTTTCTTAGTGCTTTAATATTAACAATTTGAGAACAGCACATCTTACATATGAACAGAATATGTGCCAGTTGAACGAAACTAAACTTTAACGAATAAATAATTTAAATATTATCTTGATACATAACTTTACGACAGTGAAACATGTAATAGTTGTATCTAGTAAATGAATCTTTAAAGATGCTAGTTAGAGGTTATGTTATTCTGTTACAAAACTCATTCGTAATTGAGTGTTGTAAAAGTTTGTTTAATTCTCCAACGAGTTAATAGTATGAAACGTACACAATATTTGACTACTGACCTGTATTGATGCAAGTTCAGCAAGCTTATCGGGTAAATTTTTTTGACTGATCGTTTCGTCATCGTACATAGGAAGAAGAACACCGTCGACCTTCATGCACGCACGACACATATCAGCACAGCTGATTTCCCAGCTCATTGTTATCTTAAAAATCGCAACACGCGTAAAATAAGGCTTTCACGGTGTTCTTGGTCACTTATAAATAAATGCATTTCACATTTCGCGGTCAGCGTCTCGTTTCCTGTGGAACATTGCCGTCAACATAAAGTGTAGTCATTAACTGTAGATAGAGCTTACGTCTGCGAGAGAGCCTCAGTGGCGCAATCTTACAATGCTGAAATGACATTTGATGTTACGTATTATTTTTAGATATTAATGTAACATAATTATGTAATTACATCGATACATATTTGTTAAAATCAGTAAATAAAATGTAAAATAAATACATGGAAACTCTAATTTCCATGTTAGTACAATAAAATATGTATCCACTAGATTCTATACCTAGGTATATATTAATTAAAAATTTATAAGTTAGTTTGTTGTAATAAAATTCATAAATAATATCTTTGATGTTCAATTGTTAAAAAATAGTTAGATTATCATCAGTTATGTAAACATTCAAATTATATACTTCTTACTTTACAAAAATGAAATGAATAAATCTTTCTATTCATCTTGTTATTTTAATGAATCTTATTTTAATAATTCATTTGTAACATTGTACATATTCAAATGATTTTAAACAAAGTTATAAAATAAAATTCACATAACGACGTATTTATCTGTTATCAAAGATGGTATGCTAGAATAATTTTTTAAAATGATTCTTTTTTTTTAAGTTAAAATTTTGTTATAAAAATATTATGGTAATTCTCATTAAGTATCATTAAATATCACTGTTTGCTAGCTTTAGAAAATAGTCATTATTAATGATCAGAAATTATTATTAATAAAGGCGACATCGTAGTCTGGGGATATTTTTTTAAAAATGGTACTAGATCTCTCGATCGAGTCGAATAAATTATGGATCAGTACGTGCACAAAGACAATTTGGAACTCGCATACTGCTGTTTGCCACGAAGAGGCGCTCTCAGAATGAGTGTTCTAGCATGATAATGGCCCGATGCATTTGGCCTAGTTGGTTCTAGAATTTTTGCAGTGGAAAAATCAATGTTCTCAAGTGGCCAGCCCAGTCTTCTGATATAAATCCCATAGTCAGTCGAGTTCACGGCCATTCACTAACAAAGATGAATTACTTTGGCAAATCACAAAGCTGTTATCTCGAACATGAATGGGCAACTGCTCGATTCGATATCTCAGAACATCGATACTCGACGATAGGCTTTAAAGGCCAACTATGAGATTAACAATTGTTTCTTTCAAATTGAAAGAGGTGGGTTTGGAATTTTAAAGGGACCAATGGTATTGTGTCGCACGAGATAACAAAATTGATTACACAGTCAGTCCATGTAAACATTGAAGAATTAGAAACAATAAGCAACGCTGTGTGTGAATAATGTAAAACCATTAATATGGAAGTTTGGCGAAAACAACGTTTATCTCAAGGCGAGAGTGGCTTTATGTTAGGAATACATTCACGGCGTATAGTAACAGAGGTGTAGAAAAGTTCAAGCTGCCATTCAATCTCTGTCGTCCCTCGTGTACAGTTATACAATTCTGCACACAATTTCTGCAATTGGAAAATGACTTTCACCCTTGTTCATCGTGTTAAAAGACTCTACTGAAACTCTAGAACTTCGGACACAGAAAACTCTCCTTAGATCAAACAATGTTTATAATTTTATTAGTTGACTAACGTCTTCTTAACACATACTGGACAACGCAATGTTAGTTTGACATTTTTCGTCTCAATCTTCAAAGAAAAGGAAGTCTTATAACTGAGAGTTTAACATGTAAAAGTTTATTGGTTTCTCTACGATATTATGCAATATTAATTGTCCTCATTCTCCGCTGTGATGTCTTATTCATTTTATAAGAATTAGTATTCCAAACATGCTGCGTTCTTTCTATCAAAAGTTTAATTTCGAATCGAATCGACCCAAATGGCGCACGTTTAATGCAACTTTTTTTATAAAAAACGGCTGATTATGAACAGCTAATACTCTAGAATCTGTTTCAATTCGTCGTGATCTACATTTTAAACCGAGTTTTATTCACAAAGCGCTCGTCCTATTCGTATTCTTCCCTTGCGAGACTCGAGCTTCCGTAACGAATCAGCCACCCGAACTGTTTCGAGAACCGAAAGCGTTCCCGGACTGTCCCGAACTGCTTCAGGACTTCAAACCACGCTTGTAAGGGATGGTCATGGGATGGGAGATGCAAGAGAATCGAGGAAAAGGACGGAAAAATGTCCTCCGAAAGAAAAGCAGGCAAGATTTCGGCGTAGAGTAGTTCGCTGGATTCATTGTAACTTCTGTAATTTTCAATATTTTTCCACGTAAAAAATTGTGAATACACTTGGAACATAGAGCTGAAAGTATTACTCTCAGTGACCGTGGACAGACTGTGTCTATTGATCTTGATATTTAACATAATAACTTTTAATAACTTTGTAATTATACGTCCCTGTACCATTATTAGAACCACCATATTGGTCTCTTAGCTACAATCGTACGTACCAGACTTTCGCCATATCCTTTGGATTTTGTTCGAATAAAATTGAAACGATGTTACGTCCAAAGTCGATATTCCAGTCCATATCAGAAGCGTCGTACGTCTGTCTATGCCGGTGACCAATGGATTTAGTATCGCTAATCTGGATTAAAGATTTGCATTTATAAGCCTCTTACGAATCGTCCACCATGAGATACCGATTACTAGAACCTGCTACTTATTGCCATTCTACTCTTTATTACAGAAGTAACGGGTTCTCCATCCGAAGACCGGGCTCAGACATATTTTGATATCATCGTTTATGTTTGCAATTAACGAAACTTTCATGTTATCGTTCCATTTACATTTGGAATTAATACTCTTGCAGAAGCTGGAGGAATGTCTTCAAACGATTTGAATTTGAATCAAACGATTAGTGAGCCATGCGATCATCGTATCGACGGCCATTAATTATATTAAATTTTGTATCCATTTTATTTTGTAACATATGCAAAATGAAGGATATCGAAGCAAAGTTATATACAAAATCTTATAGTCTTAAAAAATTTCATTTCATTTTAGGAAAACTCATTCTATACCTGGAAGCAAAAAGAAATTACAAATGTACAATGTGAGCAAGATTAAAATTAATTTTATTTAATTTCATTGTGCATAATGTGTTCTTGATTTCTGGACTATTTATTTTGATAACTATTCGATGCTTCGATACAATGCTCGACAATTGATACGTATCTGTATTCACAAATATATCGTTGGATCGGTGCTACCGTTATTATCGATGCAATTGTATTCCTTGGTCACACCAAGTTCAAACTTCATTCTCCCAGGACCAATTTATTGTAATGGACCAGTCATTTAGATCGTCTGATACCCAAAGAGGTACTCTGGGAATTTTTCGATCGAAAGGTGAGGAAAATAGTGATAGCATCAGGGACGTACTAAAACAAGAACTGGCGTCCCACTGGGAGCAGTTACGTCAAGTCAACATCCTGATTCGTAATTTGATAAATTCAACGCCTACGTGTATTGCAGCTATGATTTCTGCCAAAGGAACTACGACTAAATATTGACGTTGGTATTTATTTATTTACTTATTTAATGCCCAATGTTTGCAACAGCTCAGATATAAGATCAACATTAGTTCAACGCGAAAATAAAGTTCGCGAAGGCAGTATTTTCTACTCTTGTTTGCGTCGTGATCCGCCTCGGTGTCTAAAAAATTAATATACAAGTAATGGTGATATTTTTAACTATAATTTTCTAATTACCTAAAATCCCAAGAATTTATGTTAGCTGTAGCAGCTGCTAAAGTTGAGAGACCTTTACAGTTACTTCCACGAGACAAATTATATATAAAAGAGTCATAGTTTTATCTGTCTGCATCTGTTCATAAAGTACTCATTCATGAACCGTCGTGACCAAAGTTTCCTTAGCCATTCACGAATTATTTGAAGAAGCTCAGGAAGCCAGAAACAAGAGCACGAAAAGTTCCCGCTGAAATTTCACTCGTGAAAACTTCAGGAATCGTTGCAAACAAAGATCTATTGCACGTGTTCGTGTTCCATAGTTCGTCATGTTCTATCGCGAGTAGTTTATGTTACCGTTCGCGCAGAATAAAATATAGCTTATCCTCTGGTTGGCTTTCGAACAGTCAAATGTAACGATTCACGACCAGTGAAAAAGAAAAGTAAATAATAATCGTTGTGAAGCTAATTGTAACAATCATCATTCGGATGTAAGATGAACGTGTTACTTTTCTTAGGAATTAAGTACTTTCATAATCAGAATATTGATAAATACAGTGTTTCCAAACTCCCATGAATTTGATTAAAATGTTATATGGTGTTTAACGAAGTTAATTCAAAAGTATTCGTTCCGCCTTGATCTTGAATTCCGTCTGAATTTGTCGGCCGTTTATGGAATCGTTCCGTAAAGGAAAGGTGGTACTCGGAAAAGGAAATGGCGGGTGAATAGGTTGGACGCGACAGGGACGTCTCAACTGGAATTGTTGATTTTCCTTGTATTACTTTTTGCCGCGTAAGATCCCACGAAACTTTATAAAACGTAGCACCACCCTGTCTCGATGGATGAACGACAAATATTTCAACGGAAGCTTATTCGGAAATCGTAGAAGTCGCTGCGAGCAAATGTTTGTAATAATGGTTTCGTCGATGCTTAAGAGCTCGTAAGGATGTCGCGTACTGCAACATCCGTTGTATTAAAAGCATCTCCATTTGAATTATTCGTAGATCGTTATTTATTATTTATTCGACCTTAAGCCATTAAATATAAATGTGCTTTTCAAAGGATATTCAAAAAAATGTTACCAAAATAAAAATTTATTTAAATATCTTCTTCTTTTATCGTATATTATGAACGAAAAGAAATAGTTTTGAATATTGAATTCCAAAGGGGACCAACAAACAGGACTATTTAAAACAGTATTTTTTTTAATCGATTTTTGAAGGAATTATTGCAGTTTTAAAGAGGCTGTAACCATTTAATGGAACTTTTGTTCTGTTTGAGCATTCTATTCATCGAAGTGTTTGTCTAAAGTCAGTCCAGTGCTTTGTAATACGGTGATTGAATTCGCTGAGATCGTTTGATAGATTCGAACAACATGTTCT